TTCCCAGGATGCCCTGCAACATGCAATCTTCCTGCCTCACTCTCCTGAGTGGCTGGGATTGTGGTGTGTCCCCCTATATGTAACTCTATCAGAAAAGTTTTGTTCTGTTTGCTTCTCTTATTTTGTGCTTTTCCTACCAATGGGTCATTCTCCAAGCTTTCTCTCTCTCTCTCCCCCCCCCCTTCTGGTTTTTTGAGACAGGGTTTCACTATGGAGCCCAGGCTGGCCTCAAACTCATAGAGATCCTCTGGCCTCTGTTTCCCTGGTGTGATTACAGGCTTATAGGTGTGCAGCACCACTCAGATTCACCCACCCCCTCCTTTCTCCCTCTAGTCTATGGTTTCATAATCTTTATTATCAGAGAGCTCTTTTCCATCTGACTGAAATTCAAAGATGAAGAGAACATTTTTCTCTCCTGCATGGAAATCTTTTTTTTTTTTTTTTTTTTTTGATACTGGGGATCAAACTCAGGACCTCATGCCCTGGGAGATCCTGCTGCTTAGTGTGCCCCCCTCTGCTTCTTAACATTTCCCTTCAGATCAAGAAAGTTGGATCACACATCTAGGCTGGAGAATTCTTTGTGTTTTGTTTTATTTTGTTTTTTTTTCCATAATTTTATTGAGAAACAAATAGCAATGAGACAGTTTCAAATCAAATTGGTAGAACAGTTTCAAGAATTACCACATTGCATACATTCTTCCTCTTGGTTAATTGCTGTACAAGATGTGGACTTGACATCCTATTTACAAACACCATTAGAACAAATCCCTCTATTCATTAAGAGAATGTAACTATATATCCTAACCACTTTGAATACACAGATACAAAATGGACATTCATCTGTATCCCCTTTTTTTTGTTAAGTTCCATTATTTGAATATTATAGGTGTGTAAACTCAGCAAAATATTCTAAAAGAGTCCAGTAGCCCATAATAGTATTGGGTCTTCCACTTAAGTGGCAATGTCAGAAGTTGTTGACCCGAGTCCCCTACAGCGCAACATAACAGCATAGCTTTACTTCTCATATTTCATTTTTATACTTTCTGCTGGATGGTTAAGACCAAGGTAAAGCAGGACGTATGCAACAAGAGTTGTAGCTTTTGGGTCTGAGAAGGTCAGCGAAATCCCCTCAGGATTTATCGTGAGATCCTGTACTTCAGATTGTAGAACCTTTGTCAGTGTCAGCCATGTGGATGAGTCACGGCCATTGCTTGGCCAATGTGCTGTCTGTGAGAGCCTGAGAGAATGTTTTCTCTCCATATGACTCTCCTTAGGCATACTCTACATCATCGATCACTTTCTTCTTTGGCCCCATAGTCTCCTTGATCAGAAAATTTGGGACACTACTGAGTTACATGATGTTACAGTACAAGTTCTCATATGTCCTGAGTCTTAATTGATCTTGGAAGGCTAGGGCCAAAATGTTGGCTTTCCTTGCAGCCCTTCTCTTTCTCTAATTTTGGTCTGCAAACTTAGGTTGTTAACCATACAGAAGACAAGCTTATTGTTATGTTTTATTTTGTTTTGTGACCGGGTCTGAATGTGTATCCCAGGCTGGCCTCAAACTCACAGAGATCCTCCTGCCTCAGCCTCCTGAGTGTTGGGAGTACAGGCATGTGCCACCACACCCAGATGGAGAATTTTCTTTGGCCCTAATGTTTCCCTAGCCTGGCTAGGACAGGTTGGACAGTTTCTGTCCCTGACTCACATCCTCTAGGGCTGTTTGGTGAACTTCTCCAAGAGACATACAAATGTCTCCCTCTGAACTGCAAGGGGGACACCAGACAAAGCACAGTGGGTAGGAGTGCAGGCTGGGAGCCACTGAGTTGGTCAGGGCTCACTACAGAGCAGTAGACTCTTGCCGTTGGAAGCCCACTCAAGTGGCCTTCCTTTGTGTGAGGCCACTGGTTTACACGGCACTGATTAAAGCAGCAAGAGCAGGACCAAAAGCAGGAAAGGAGCTGTGGGGAAAGTTGTGTGTGTTCTCCACTCCCAGCCAAACTTTCTGGAGCCTGCTGGTCTCACAAAGCACCGCCCAGCTGCCAGGGCAGATGACTTTGTTGGGCTGCAGTCTGGCATGCAGCCAGAAAGGAAGGAAAGTGAGCAGAGTTTGGGCCTCAGGCAGGGCAGGTCTTTGTAACCCAGAAGTCCTTTGAAGGCAGTGTCAGCCTCCTGCTGAGGGAGCCCTTGGTGGTCCCCTCGAGGCTCACCCAGAGTCCTTGGCAGGCCCGGGTACCTTGGCTTAGAGACCAGCAGTGCAGCTTGCCAGTTGTGTTACCCCGGGTGGTTTTGTTGTTCACCTAAGAGTGTCCATCGTTATGTCAGAGCCTGTCATCAAAAACCCAGGAAGTAACATTTTGGTTGTTTGTGGGTATCATCTTGACATCCATGGTGTGTATTTCCTCCCAGACCGACATCTTGGAAGGTCGACAGACATTGCAGACATTGCAGGCAGTAACAATGCTAACATTGGCCCCTCTTGCCCCCACTTCACTCTGTGGGGGTCACCATCTGGGTCCACGAGGCACCAGCCCATCTTCCTTGCATAGATGGGGACAGGTTCAGGGCTGCTGGAAAGGGCCTGTACCCCAGCAGAGAAAGTGTCAGAAGGACATGGCTCTGCCAGGGAGTCTGCAGAAGGAAGGGGCCGTGGGCCCCAGCCCAGCTCTGTGTGGGTGCCTTCTGCTCAGAGACCAAGGCTGAGCCAGGTGGCCAAATTCCCAGCCCCTTCCTCCATCTACAACCTGAGTCATTGCTCATCGCCACGGTGATGACCGCAGTAGCATCAAATATTCCTGATCACATCCCTATGGTGCAGCCCAGGCACACCCACGCTCTGGCCCTGGGCAGAGTCCTGGGACACATTTCCTTGTCACGGCCCTTGTTATGGTTTGTGTCTAGGTGTCCCCACAAAGCCACATGCAATCTAGAGTTTGTGACTAATTCATGATCCAATGCTGGGATTATAGGTGTGAGTGCTATTCCCACCCTGGCATGGGTAATCTGCATTATAATGTGAGGAGGGGGGGAGAGGCTTAGCTAGAAGCCACAGCAGCTGCCCCTTCCTTTGCTCTTTGCTGCTGTTTTCTACTGCCATGAACAGCTGCCCTCTGTCATGTTCCACTCGGCCTTGGAGCCAGCCGAGTATGGACTGAAACCTACATGAACTGTGAGCTAAATAAACCTTTCCTTCCTTAATTTTGGGTGTCAAGTATTTGATCTCAGCAATGAGAGAAGAGTGACTAAGACAATCCCTATGTCAGCTAAGCCTGTGGCCACATCTCCCATTCTGAGTGCTCTCTGATGTGGTCCCCCATCATAAAGGCCCCCCAACCTCAGGCAGTCTCAGTACCTCAGGCCTGGGAGTAGCCCTCCAGAAGGCCTGGCAAGTGGCAGATGCCCTGCACTGTGTTAGGAGCATGCAAATCAGCCCTACCCTTCAATGAGAGTTAAGAGGAGCAGATCCCGTGTGTGTGTGTGTGTGTGTGTGTGTGTGTGCGTGCGCATGTATGTGTCTGGTTGACAAGTCTGTGTACACTTGTGTGCCTCAGTTTTGGTATGTGAGAATGTAGTGTTGGAGGTGTGTTTCTGAGGGGCAGCCCTCTCAAGGTGTCTGTGTCTTTGCAAATATCTGGGCATAGATGTCCCAAATAAGTGTGAAGGTTGTGCAAATTTGTGTGTGTCAGTGTAATGAGAATGCATATGTCTCTGGAGGAGTGTCTGTGTTTTGTATCTTGGTATGCATGGGTTGTGTGTGTGACTTTGTATGCCCTCTACTGTTTTGATTGTATGTGTGTGTGTTCATATTCCCTTCTCTGTCTCTGCAGGTCTGTGCCTCTATGTGCATGTGCTTGTGTCTGTATGAGTTTGCTTGGGGCTGGCTCAGTGTTCCTGGGTTGTATGTGCATGTGGTGGCCCCTACAGGGTGGGTTCTCCCATGCCTGTCGAGGCACTGGGCACCTGAGTGCCAGGGGAAGCTGGAGCCAATCCTGTCCATGCCTGGATGTCTCTGTGCTTAAGGAGTCTGTGTGTGCCCTGACTGTATCTGTGCACCCCAGAATCAAGCAGATGCTGATGGGACTTCTCCAGGGGTTGGTGAGAGGGGTCAGTATGCTCTTCTCCCACACCAGCCAGGACCCTCCTGGTCTTGCTTCTCTCAGCCCCCATCTCCCTGGCAGTCAGATCTCAGGTCCCAATGTCATGGAGTGATGGTTAGCCTCAGTACAGGGCTGGAGAGGGATTGGTCCCTGGAAGATGTTAGGGTGAGAATGGGCGTTGACTGGGGAGGACCCTGCTGAGGCTGTCCTGGGTCCTAGAAGAAAGAGGGGGAGCTTCCAGGAAGGGCTGATGGGCAGAGCTCCCGGGGTCCTGGGAAGAAATGCATCTGTGGGTGTCTGTGGAAAGTCTGGGTTTAGGGCTCCCAGGTCCCTGGATGGGGGGACAGGAGATCTGCAGGACTCTTCAGTCCCCAGAATCTGACGTTAGCAGCAGCAGTTTTGCAGGACAAAAGGGCAGAGGACCTACTGAAGAGTGGTGGAGGAGGTGGTTTTGTAGGAAAAGAGACAGCAGGCCAGAGCTGGCCTCCTCAGGCAACCCCATGGCTTCACCCTCCTGTGGGCTAAGCCTATCTGGTGGGGATGGCGAACCCTGTAGAGGTGCCCGAGTGCCCAAACTGCTGACCCAAACCCACCTATCCACCTCAAAGTGGTAGCTCTGCACTTTGAGGTACTGAGGTTTTAGTTAAAAAAAACCTCAAGTGTTAATATTTTTTGTCTTAAAAGAAAAACACAATGACATGCATACCAAAGGTGTGCTGCTACCACTTCAGGGGCAGGAGCCTGGGGCCACACACAGAACCCTTCCCAGACTCTGTGTCCTGGATATTGGAACAGTGCTTGCACACCCTTGGATGCTGGGGCCCACAGGGGAATCTGGTCCTGGGTGGCTGGACGTCAGAGATAATTACGGAGGGAAGGCATTTAGCATAGTCTGTTCACACAGTAGATGCACAACCCCAGGCCACTTTATTACCTGAAACCTCAGTCCAGGAACCCACCAGGGCCCTCCAAAAGAACAGGACTTCAGAGAAGGGCAGGGCGGCACTTCAAAGGGGGAGTGTATTGGGACCACAGCTCTTCTGAGGTCCCTTCCAAGCCAATCTCTTCACACCCCCTGCATACTAGGGAAACTGAGGGTGCCAGGAATTTGTCCATAGTCAGGGATTTGGAGGTCCTGGGTTGACTGCTGATTGCCTCTGAGCAAATTCCTTTTTCCGAAGTTCGCTTCGTTTGATCTTGCCAGTGACTGTTTTGGGCAACTCTAGGACAAATTCCACCTGGTTGAGAGAGAGCAAATCCATCCTGACTTAGCCTTGATATAGTTTCTACTGATTCCCAGAACCCCTCCCATTCAGGCTGACTCCACTTGGTGACCTTTATGGGGTCCTCCTCCTGACCCTTGGAGATGGACGTAGCCACATGACTTGCTTTGACCAATGAATGAAGCATGAGTGGCAGTGATACATGTCACCTCTAGGCAGGAGCATTTAGAGCCACTGAGATTGGTGGCCCTCTCCTTCAGCTTGTCTAGCACCTGGCAGGTTCTCTGTAGTGGCTGCTGTTACATCCTGGTCCCAGGATGAGGGGATGTGGGTTAAAGGCACCCCAAGAGCCATGGAGGCATACAGCATGAGCCAGGAGGAATCCCTCATCTGGACAGACCTTCAGTGGTTAGAGTGATGTGTTTTCTGCATTGATATCCACCTCCCCCTGTCGTCCTCTGTTTGACACCAAGAAGGTTGCCTCACCTAGTGCCAGAATACAACCTTCGTCCTCAGACACACATGCCCTTTTGACTCAGACAAACTCAGGCAGTTGACCTGGAGTCCGAGTCTCGGTTTGTCTCGGTAAAACTGGATGACTACACTACTGCAAGTTGTAGTACTGAAGGAACAGTGCACACAAAGAGCTGAATCCAGGGCCTGGTGCACAATGTAAGTGCTCAGTAAGTGCTAGCGAGCAATCTCATCATATGTCCATATTGATTGTGAACGTTCAGACTACAATAGAAAATATTGACTTTTTGACACATGAGCCTCTTTATTTTAAACCAATGGGATCATTCTCTCTCTTTCTGTCCCTGTCTCTCTTCACCGGGTTTTGAAATTAGGACCTTCGTACTGAGCTACAACTGCAGCGTCCCCCTTGCACTTTGAGACACTCTCACTAAGTCACTAAGTTGCCCAGGCTGGACTCAAACTTGGGATCCTCCTGCCTCAGCTTCCTGAGTGCTGAGGTTACAAAAGTGTGTGCCACCACACCTGGCAGACAGCTTCTTTTGAAGAGGAAAGAGCGACGGGCTGGCTAACTGTCCCCCTCCATAGCCATAGGGCAAGGTTGGTGCAACCAAGCACCCGGGAGTGCTCAGGGGAAGCAGCCCTCAGGCACCTGTCCTGCTCACCTTCCGCGGGTACTTGTACGGTGCTGTCACTGACTTCACGTGCTGCTGTAGCTCCTTGGTGAGCTGGTCTTGGTCATGGGACCGGTACGGTGGGTTCAGAACAATAAATGCTTTTACTACCTGTAGGATGGAAGCATGACCTCTACTGTATAGAATCTCTGGGAAAGCAGGGGCTGAGGCTCACATCTGCCCTTCCGTGTCAGTGCCATACTTTGGAAATTGACTCAATCCCTCTACCTCCCTTTTGAGAACTGGGGGTTGAACCCAGAGGCTCCACCCTGAGCTACATCCCCAGCCCTTTTTCATTGAAGACAGGGTCTAAGTCACTAACTTGGCTAGGCTGGTCTCGAACTTGGGAACTTTTTGCTTCAGCCTCCCAGAGTGCTGAGAGCACAGGCGAGCATCACCATGTCTGTAGTCTAACCTCACTTTTCTTCTCCATGAAACGGGGTTTACTCCTCAAGGGATTTCTGTAGATTCCATGCGATGGTGTGTCTATAACATCTGGCCTGTTTAAATTGCTTTCTACCCAGCACCATTATTATATGAGCATCATCACACTTATTATTTGTGCAGTTCTGTGTCTGGCACCCAGTGAGCTTAAGTAAATTGCTCACAATTTATTTGTATTTTATATCCCCAATCACACAAGTCTTTATATACGGAAGGCACTCAGCACCTGCATCAGTGAATGTGTGCTGTGGTGCCACCTCTTAGCTGTGGCGGTGAGCCCCTCTTTTTCCTTATTTAAAGGATAATAGGAGCCCTTAAATTACTGAGCTTTGGAAGATGGGCGGGCCCGGCGTTGGCGCATCCTACAAGCCTCACCACCATAGCCTTCCCTGCTACTGTCCCAGCCCACAGGCATCATTTCCAGAGCACGGCTGGCGCCACAGAGCCCCCTGGTGGTTCCTTGTGTAAATGCACTCCTGCCCGCCTCGTCCTCCCTCCCTCCCGGGTCCTGGGCTGTGCTGATCCTGCAAGAGCCCGGTGTGGCCTCGCCCGCGGTCCTGCATAGCCAGACTCCACGAGGCCCTTATCCTCACCTCGCCTCGCGCTGGGTCCGGGCTGCTCACTACGGCTGACTCGGCTACCGCCGGGTGCTCTGCCAAGGCGTTCTCCACCTCCACAGGCCCGATGCGATACCTGCGGGATCAACCCACTGCCCTGAGCTGGGGCAGGCCCCAGGTCTGTCCTCCCGGAGGGCAGAGGGCCTGAGAGGCCTGCTTGTGCTTTAGGCCCCTACACTGAAGATCTGGACTTCATGGGCCGGTGCCCAGCTCGGCTGTCCCTGGACGTCTCTCCGGACTGTTCCTGCTGGGCAGGGGCCACTCAGTGTCCTTGCTGTACAACCTCCTGCAGCAGAGCTGGAGCTCCGGAAGTCTCCAGCCTTCAGTGGACACCCTCATGCTCACTGCCGCCTGCGCCCCACGGTGCTGACGGGCTTTGTTTTACTTTGTCTCTTAGTATATGTTTTCGAAGTGTAAGATAATGATTTTTTTTAAGGAAATACATGGTTAGTTAATTGCCACAGTCAAATGAACATAACCCTCAGGCCACGCAGATGGCACCGGCAGGTGGGTGTGCAAAGTGCTTGTCAGTGGAATGGGCACTTAGAGTCTTCTAGTAAATTCTCAGTACATACAGGGTGTGATAGACAAACGTGGTGAATATTTATTTTGATACCGAAACTCAAACTCACGACCTCACCCTTGCCAGGCAGGTGCTGTGCCACAGAGCTGTATCCCTGGTTAATGCTTTTTTTTTTTTTTTTTTTTTTTTTTAGCAGTCAAAACACATTGCCGTGAATCCCCCTTGTGGGCAATGAACACACATGTCCCATTGTTCTTGCTGCCTTCTGATACAGTTGTGGAAATCCTCTTTTAGGTCTTTAGTTGTACTGTCGTAGCTGCCTGGATGTCCTGACTCTACGGATACTCTTGACCTCTCATGGGCATTTTGACCTTGGGGAAGAGCCAGAAGCTGCGTGGTTCCAGATCTGGTGAGTAAGGTGGGCGAGGACGCGCTGTCACGCATGTATAGGCCTGCCTTTCGGCTGGATGGCACTTGGCAGCAGTGGTCATCTTGTTTTTGATCTTATAAAGACACCTATGATAAATGGCTTCCAGAAGTGCTTCAGAAAGTGGCAGGAACAGGAGGGTGTGTGTTTGGCGTGAGGGGCTCACTGGCAATGTGTGTTTTAGCGCTGGGGAAATAGCTCAGCGGTGTAAGTGCCTGCCTGGCAAGCACAAGGTCCCAAGTTCAATCCCCAGTACCACACGCACAAAAACAAAGCAATGTGTATTTTACTGCAAGATGTTATAACATTTAAGGGGGCCTGCCCCTTAGCTCAGTTCTTTAAATGGCTGCTTCAACAAAGCAGTCAGGCTTAAGTTGCTGTGGTTCGATCCCAAAACTCAAGCCAGCCAAACCTGCCCTGAAGGCATTCGGAGCAAAAAAACCCCCCCAAAAACAAAAAAACCTCCTATAACATTTAAATATTCACCATATATATGATCAAAAAGAGAGGAAGAGGATGTTTTAGAAATGGACAAGTAGCTAGGAGAACTAGGTTCTGATGTGGTATTTCACAGCGGGGTCACTATAGATCACAGTTATACATTACGAATTCCAAAATAGCTGGAAAAGAGGTTTTTGAGTGTTCTCAACACAAGGAAATAAATATTTGGGGTGCTGAATATGCATGTTTTCCTAATTTGAACATTACATAACATATAGATGCATCAAATCATCACAGTGTGTCCCACAAATATGTATAATTATTAAGCATCAATTAAAATAAATTAAGAAAACCTTAATTTCTTTGAAATACTCAAGAAAAATGATGTAATATATCTTTAAAAAAAACCTCCAGGGTCAGAGTCAAGCCCCCTGGGCTCCAGTCTAGTCTCCTGCCTGAGCTGTCTTTGAGACTTCAGGCAAACATCCTCACTGGTTAGTGACCCATTTCCTCCTGGTGAGGCAGGAATGACAGTTGTGTCTGCCTGCCGGCCTGAAGAGGCTGGTTACACACGTAACCAGCTAAGGAGAACGTTTCCACACAGCGCTGCGTAAAAGTGAGCTGTTATTGTCATTATTATGTTTCTCCTGTGACCTTCTGTGCCATAGGAGACCAGCACAAACATCAGAAAAGCAAGCCTGAGGGACCAAGGCACAGGCTCCCACCCACGTCCTGCCCCTTTCCTTTAAATGCTCAGGAATGGGACGTCTCATTCCCCTTCCTGCATTCATCTTGGTTGTCTCTGGGTGTGGGGATCAGGGGCCAGGCTCTGTCAGCGCCAGGCTGAGGGCCTGAGCACCAAGGCAAGGTCCCAGAAGCTTGGGAGGTGCCAGGGGCCGGCTCCAGGCCAGCCCCACCTACCCAGAGGCATTGATGACATCGTCATTCCTCCCGAGGAACCAGATGTAGCCCTCCGAGTCAATAGTTGCTTTGTCCCCCGAGTTGTAGAAGTCCCCGCATTCCACTTCCGCTGTCTTCTCTGGGTTATTCTGCAAAGAGAACAGCTCTCCTTTATAGGAGGCAGAGAGTTTGGAGCGCCAAGCCCGGGTTCAGACCTGGCTTTGTGTTCAGCCTCTGACTGCCCTGTAACCTGGGTAAATTTCGTAACTCCTGAGGGTCTAATTTCGTTCCATGGAGGAAGACAGCACAGACTGCTGCTCAGCTGGTGGAAGTTCCTGAACTGGTTGCAATGACAGTTTTTATAATGACCTGCTCATTTCTGTGTGGCACTCTGCTGGAGTAACTCTTCTGCTAGCAGGAACCTGCTTGTGTTATTCCCTGCTGTGAGCTCGGCATGGACCTGGGCAGATGAGAGGGGCTAGTACACCTGAGCTGAATGGATTTCCTTCCCCTCAGGCTCCTCTGGTTGACCCTCACAGAAAGCTGTGTGGCGGGTTGCTTTTTAAAATAAATTTTTCATTTTTAGATAATTGTAGGTTTGCATATAGTTTAAAAAAGTTCAGATAGCTCTTAAGTACTTTTTTTTTTTTTTTTTTTGTGGTACTCCAGATTCAACTCCAGGCCTCCCCACTGAGCTATATCTCCAGGCTTCTTTGTTTTATTTTTAAAATTTGAGACAGGTGTTGCTAAAGCTCTAAAGGGGCCTCAGCACGATCTCTCTGCCTCAGCCGCCCAGTGTGCTGGGGTGCCCTGCACTGCCACACGCAGCCTACTCTCTACTCCTGTGGGACAAACTTCTTCGAGTTCTACATATGGTAAAAGATAAACCTGCGGTATTTTCTGTCTCTGGATTATTTCAGTCACGTAATGCTACCCAATTCCTTTCATATTTCTTCAGGGATGTTGTACAGATAGAACTGTACAGTATGGAACCTTCTAGGATAGGCTATTTTTTCTCTCTTCAGTGTAGCTCTGTGGGGATTCATTTAAGCTGCTGTATTCATAAACAATATGATCCTTTTTACTGCCAAGCAGAATTCTGTGTTATGACTGTACCTCAGGGTTTTTTTTTTTTTTTTTTAATTCATTCAACTGCTGAAAGATGCCTGGGTGGTTTCCAGTTTCTGGCTGTGAATAAAGATTCTGTGGCTACTTGTGTATTCTTTCATATGAAGGTGAATTTGAATAAGCCTGGCATTTTTTGTAGCCTATTTGACAGAAGAAACTGATGTTCAGAGAATCATTAAACTGGTCTTGGGACTTGAATTTAATTCTTGCTTTACCATTTATTTATTTGACACCTAAGCAAGCTTTCTTATATGGCAAGAAGAGATTTTAAGAGATACCTGAAAACACAGTAAAAACAATGGCTCGCTTCCTGTTTTGAATTAATTTCCATAGTTGGTTACACTAAGGAGATTACTGGCTTGGTGTTCACATGTGTTTAGAAGCTTTGAGAAGCACCAAGAGGAACAGTAAGCTTCGGGATCAAAGCTTTCAGCAGGAACCGAGCTTAGCCGAAATTTGACATTTGTTTTTAAAAATTCTAATTATGGCTGTAAATGCTGTCTGATTTTGGCAAATGATACTATTTTCAATTTATGATACTACATTGACTTTTCAAAAACAAACAATTTCAAACAGTTAATTTAAAGAGAAGTATACACTGAGTAATTATACAAATATTAATACGAGGTGTGACCAAAATGATTCTGTATATTTATTATAGTAAAAGACACATGGCCATTAATTCAACCAAAACACCTCCTCTACATAGATCACACTCCTCCCATCATTTGTACCACTTTATGAAGCAGTTCTGGAAGTTGTTTTTCAGGAGTGTCTTTACAAGGAGTGATAAAATCTGGTTAACACTGCGGCTCAGTGCAGCCAACGGAAGGCAGGATTGTGAGAATATTGTGTGTCCTCATCCATCTTACTTCCTGGATGTGGCACCATGCAACCTCTGGCTCTTCCCCAAACTAAAATGACCACAAAAGGTAGATATTTTGAATCAATTCAAGATGCTGAGGCAGCCACGACAGCCCAAGTAAAGACACTCAGGAACGAGGCCTTCCAGTGCTGCTTCAGAGAGTGGCCAGAATGAAGGACGGATAGCTACATGGGGAGGGGTAGTCTCAGGAAGATTCATGGCAATGTGTCTTTTACTGTAATACAATTTTAAAATTTAAACATTCCCTTTAATGTTTGGTTACATTTCATGGATATGGAAAAACAGTGGACACAAATACAGTGGACGAATACACATATGGACACAAATGCTGGAAGTTCAGGAAACAGTGACGGAAGAGGACCATACAGTTTCGCCCTTGACTGCTGTCCAGCACAGCATGCTGAGCTCGATACGCTGGCCTCACTCACAGCCTGTGCCCAGGTCTGCTCTCAAGGAGCATTGTTGAGGTTCCTCTTCTCACATAAGGCCTGAGGCTGGGCCCTAGAGGAAGGGCACTCACATCTGGGGAAGGGATTCTTACCTCCCCGGGACTGGAATATCTTGGAGGAGATCCCTGGGTGATCTGAGGGAAATTCCTGAACAGCGAGGGGAAAATATCTTGTATATCACACAGAGATGGGCAGAGTCCACCAGCTTTCGAAGACCTTATCCTTGGCTGCTTTTTAAACATTCTACTACTGGGAAGCAATGTTATGAAAGTAGAGGCTGCGAAGTCCCAATTTCTTGCTTCTCTACAGAAATACTAAAACCAAGCCAATAAACAAAGGGAAGCAGTCTGAACTGACTTTGTAATTGCTCTGGGAACAAACTTACAACAACCAAGCAAGCGTCCAATCAGAAAACTCCACCGTCAGAATGGCAGGAGAGTTCTGTGGTGCTGGCCCTACCCTGATAGGCTGGGGTTTGAGCATGGGACAGCCTAGTTCCCAGTGTCCTCCTGTCTCCTGGTGTAGTAAGCAAAGCTCCTGTAAATTATTATGTCCTAATAACTCTGGGGGATACCTGTAGGGCTGATACAATTAATTAATTTAACCCAGGAGGGAGGTGGAAAAAGCAGTAGAAAGAAGGAGAATATGATTTTCAGAGTTACTCACAATCATCACATTACAAAGCCAAAAGGCCCAAAATTTTCAGTAATTAAAGCACCATCATGGGTGTACAAAGAACAAGAAAAGGTAGCCAGTGAAATGTTAATTGATAGAAACTGTCTGAGGACAGCACTGTATTTATGAGAAAAATAAATATATTAAATATTCTGAATAAGTCAAAATGGAGGAAATGGACAAAGGACTAAAGGAAATTGAGAAGATGCCCTATGGGCAAAATGAGAATATCAACAAAGGTAGAAATTTTTTTTTTTTTTTTTTTTTTTTTTTTTTTTACATGTTTGGTACAGGGTCTCACTACACAGCTCAGACTTGCAGCAATTTTCTTGTTTTTGGCCTCCCTGGTGCTGGGATTACAGGCCTACGCCTCCACGCCCAGTCTCAGTGGCCCCCTCAGTGCACCCAGGGGTTGGGGGCTAGCGTGGCATGTGGTGTGGGGAATCGAACCCTGGTTCCTGAGATTGCCTAAGCAGGTATTTAGTCCACTGAGCTATCTTACGAGCTCCAAAGGTAGAAATTATAAAGAAGAACCTAACACAAATTCTGGAGGTACAGTCACTGAAA